ATTTTCGTAACGTTGTTATAATATATGACGCAAACTGTTTGGTTTTTTATTTTCATTCTGCAGATAGTTTACACAAATTAAGTGTCTGTATAAAATTTGTTTTTTGTATTCCCAATAACAGTCCCTAAAATTGTGTGTAGTACGAAATTCAAAAGTGTGTTATTCTAATTAAACCTTTATAATAATGTTATGTATAATTTTATATCTTTACATTTTTTTTTAAATATTTTAATGGTTTTTTGCCAAACCATATTTTAATTATTATCTACTACACAGACACGCAATAAACAATATTTTGTGTTGTTACGTCGTTGTATCCTATAGTTATTATTATTCATTGTTATTAGGAGTAGGTAGCTATTTTTATTATTATCAGCTTAGTAGTGAACGGTGGTATATAGGATACTAGTGTTTATCTAGTAATAATTTAGATTTGACCGATTTGGGACTATGTGTGTAGTACGAAAATTTGGATAACTAGTACAAACGCTTTCGGCACGGTATAGGTACATCGTAAGATTCATTATTTGTTACATGCAGATGTCTTTGATATCTTATGGATTACACGTTATTTTATCGGGGCCAAATATGCAGCGGACATAATCATCAACTACTATTCCGCGGAGGCTTACAATAATAAAGGTAACCTAAGTGACCAAGTGACCAAGTGACACCAATCGTGATGGATGATTATCATATTATTATAGTATCATTGTTCGTTAAATAAGAGTCAATAATAACGGCCTGTACTGCATGTATTAAAAAATCGAGAGGAAAACATAATATTGTATAGCATGTCTCTATTAAACGACGGATATGGATATAAGTAGGTGTATTACTTGCAGTAACTAGTAAAAAATTGTAAGTAAACAATTATTTCCCCCCCTATATACGCCTGTTTAAAATTAGTGCAGATTTTAGGGTTATCAAAATTATACTTAATATACCTTAATTTACCATTAAAATTATAATACAGTTTGGTTTTGACCAACCAATCTGCCCACTGTGATACGTCTTGTAAGGCGCTTACAGTTTATATTAAAATCGTAATAATGCCATCACTATAATGTATATTTTTTTGATGTTTACACAATTTCACATAATATTGTACTCGCGGGTACTTATCATATAATAATATAAATAATATTTTGTTCATTTGGTATCTTAAATTCTTCCAATAGCAGAATATGATGTTGTTTACGCAAACCACATATAGGTATTTAAAATGTAGTAATATTCTCTGTTATTATTTGGTTGTCTTGATAAATTATATCATTTATCACTTATTTGAGAGCATAATGCGTGTTATTTTCTACTAAGAATATATTTGCTTTGCAATAGATACATAATATTATATAATGTGATTCGATCTCGCACGAAAAAGGGATTTCGCTATTTCAGGGACTGGAACTTATTTTGCAAAATCGATTTTTCATATCGATGATAAGTAGAATGGTTTAAGATTCTATTATATTATAAAAGAACCTATATAGTTGAATTATTTTAATATTTATTTTGGAAAATATGATTTCAATACAATTTTCACTTCAACACAATATAATATACCTTTTAACATTAAATTATTTCATACTATGACTTCTATAAAAAAATCCGCTATAAATATTTATTCACTAAACAGGCAGTACCTGCAACTGCGTATTATTTTGTACTTCGTACACTGAAATCGTGTAGTTATAATATGCTTTGAATATTGAGTGTTTATAACAATACTAATGATGATTATATAATATCAAGTAACATAATTTTTTAAATTTGATTTTGTTTAAAATTAAATCACTTTAATATAGTAACCTAATTTACAATTTATTATTCTTTAATGGCGTAAGTAGTAAGTACTACATCGTGTATTTATGTATGCACATAACACGATGATGTGTACAATTATTTTATGAACAGTATATTAATATTTTTCGTATAATTAGGTATTTTTATTGAAAGACATTAGCAGTCGTTCCAATTTTTTTTATTATTCCGCTAAACACCTAAATGTACTTGCTCGCAATTGTACACACCTGCAGCTACGGCACATAAAACTTCGTAAGCACAATTTTAATGCTTAAATTCCAATATAATTGCAGCTGTTTTTCGGTTTTACATTTTAATTTTTTTTTAAAACACACGAAGTTAACGTACGTCATTTGAAAGCCGTGTGGAGTAAAATTACCACTCTTACCGATCTCTATGAGACACACTATGTGTGGTGATTCATAATGTTATTAGTTCGTAGCATCAGATATACACGATTATATCGAACAGCACTAATATAATATTATTTAACACGAAAAAAAAAATAATAAGACAAACGTGACGCTAAGCGCGTAATCCTCACGGGTGGTCGTATCATAGGTATTATATTATTATGTTATATTATTGTCGTAACCGCAGTATACGTAATAATATAATATAAAAACGACGACGATTTGAATTTTTACGACGCGATGTGTCTCATCGGTTCGTGTCGCAATATTATCGTATTATAATATTATATAGCACGGAAGATTTCAGAATTTTACGACTCCCAAAAATCGCCGATCATGCGGCCTCCCCCCTATGAGTCTTTTTTGGCAGTGGCGCCCATAATAATAATATTGTGACTGGAGGTCGGGAGGCGCCACCGCCGCCGCCGATATCTACGAAACGAAAAGGTCCTTATTGATGAATGATGATATTATTATGACAACAACAATAACGTCAACAAAGACGACGACTGTGATAATAATAATAATAACAAACTAAAAAAAAAAAAAACCACATGTATAAAATAACGTTTCTCCACTACGGCGGCGTTTCGACCATACTGTGCTGTTTGCCGGGATAAAATATATAATATTATTATATGTCTGCCTTGGATGAGGCGGCTTTCACTCCATATAAAGAACAAATCGGTGCGAACGGCTAAGCTGGCAAGTGGTGCTCAGAACTACGACGCGTCGTACTATGTCCGAATATTGTTTGCGCGAATTTCACGCGCGTCGTTCGTGTTTTATAATAATATATTAATACACGCGTTAGTGTATAATAATAATATCACGTCAGGTTAGGTACTCGTTAGGTACCACGTTATAGGTACTTGCGGTAATATAATAATAATAATAATAAAAATATGTATTAAACTATCGCCATATGGTTATTTTATCGTACAAAAGCGATTCGAATCCATTCTGTGTCCCGTGCACGACGATAATAAAAAATAATGTTTAGCTCTGGTCGTCATAATATACGTTTTCCAACTAATTTCTCAGAGGAATTTTCGATCAATGTTCTCCGAGCGCATTTACTACTGCACACGCACACGTTTATTCCAGTTCTTATCGCTTCGGTCGTGTACCGTTAGAACGGATAAACCCCTCTCTCTCTCTCTCTCTCTCGACAATTAAGTGCAGGACACCTGACTCATATAGTCCTATAGTTTTTTTTCCCCCCAAACGACCACGGAGACGAGATAAAATATTTTTAAAATAAAAAATAGAGGAAAAACGTTATACGATAGTCTTGTCAGCTGTGAGAAGGAAATTATTTCTGCTCGTTTCGCGAGTAATACATTATTATACAACAATAATAATTAGTATTATGTACTTTTGTAGCGCAATTAATATTATTGCATCGTCGCGTGGACAATAAGGACAATCGCGTGGTTATAATGGATAATCATATTTAAAGTGTGACGATATCGAGTGCGTGCGACATTATTGTATGTATATTATTATATTTTATTATACACAATATCATGTCCATATTGGCGGACAAGACGTCCTCTTCTCCGATAAAACACACCCGAGAGTATACACGACACACGGCCCACTCGTTTTTCTATTATTTCTATATTATTATTATTATATCATAATCATTGTAATAATTGTATGATATATCGATTTGCGGTTTTCCTATAATATATATTAAGCGCGTCTTCTGTATTCTGTAAGTGTATAGGTATCTACCTACCGCAAGTCAACAGCTAACTGTTGGCTGTCATACTGTTTTCGATTGACCGAATATATTGTTAAAATACTATCACATATTATTATAATACTTACTGACCCCTAGAAATATAATTGATTTTTTTTTTTTTATTATTGTTCAAAAAACAGTATGACGTTTACAATCTGTAATCTGTAGGTATACATATTGTAGATAATCAGTAATACATTGATACAGTAAACACATTGGTTGACATACATAATTAATAATATATCAATATGTGACTATATTATATGTTCAACAACAGTTGTACGATTTGTATGTTTTTTTTCTTTGTTAATATACAAATGCAAAAAAATTCCTTTTCCTAAAATATTTGCAGCTCCTAACTCTTAGCCGTGGTACCTATCTGCTGATATTGGTATATGCGGCTAATAAGTAATAACGTAATAGTGAAATATAATGCACAACGTCCGTGTGGAATTTTCATCATGACACATAATATTATACAATTACCTATTTTATCTGTTTTAGTTGGTCAGAGTAGATTGAAAATAAGTATATTCAATTCATACCTTACTAAATATAGTTTATTATCTAAAATACAGATTACAGGTGTAAGCTCGAAATCGCCTATTAATAATCAATAATCAATAATCAATTAAACATTTTATATTTCGGTCAAATGTAATGAAACGTTTCTAGATAAAAAAATTTCGAATACTAACTAGGTAGATGTTTTTCAGTAGCAGTTATAATAAAATTAAAATTGATTTAATGTTAACAGTAAGTTTAACAATCAACCGCTCTAAAATAATAATAATAATAATAATAATAATGTATGGCAGTAACGATACACGTCAGTGTGCGAACGCGCATACGATCACAGTCACGCGTGGACCTCGGGCTTGGTCGGACCGTCGTCGTCATTAATAATTTTACTAAATTATACCTTTAGCCGCATTTTTTTTCCCTATGGTGGATAATACCATATAATATTATATTGTTCGGTTTTTATTTCACTTACATTAATCTCGTGTGATTTAAATTTTTTTTCACAGCCGGAATATTATCGTGACAATTCAGAGTTTTTGTGCGTATCTAACGGAAATCGTTATCAGCTGAAAATTCCTCACGCCAAACTGACACATACGGGGACGTACACGCTATTGGCCGCCAATCCGCATGGACAGATCAAAGCGCTAATATCTCTCCAAGTCTACTCGACAGGTCAGTCGTAGCTATATTATACTCATATTATAAGTAATATCTATTATTTTCATAGAATACTCGTACAATTAATGCGATATTATTATTATTGTATTGTATTCATGACGTCACCGATTTGAAATATTAGTAAAACAATCTTGACGTCGTAACCGACTACCCGCGAAGAGAAAATATTATAATAGTTATGTATAGCTACTATATACGTCACAATGTGATTCACCGAGAATACTTAAATTTCAGACAGTATAATACTATTATAATAGGTCAAACAAAATTACGGAAGCGAATCTTCGCATACTGTCCTTCATTATACACTCTGCGTACACACGTCGTTTCTATCGCGATACTGAAACGCGTCACCGAACGATGCATATTCATTTTTTTTTTTTTTTAATTTTCTCCAGGACACTGCAAGAAAAAAATGGAAAATGGGACCAACTACGCGTAAGTTGCATCACGTAACGTTACTATAATAATATAGTGTTTTACACTAACGAGTCTTCGATTGTTCGAAATAATATACCCGCCGTTAGAGTATACAACATTTGACAATAATATTATTATGTCTGTCCGTGTGTGTATAGAACGGTGGAAAGGTTACCGAGAATAAGTCGAGGGCTGGTCGACATCGAGTGCCGGGAGAACGACAGCGTTTCGTTTGAGTGCAAGTTGAACATCACTCAAGAGACGGACATTAGATGGCAAAAAGACGGCAAAGTATGTGTATATACTTAACCTGAAACGTTCGCTACTGCAACTGTTCAATACCTAACAGTTTATGTTACATGAGCATGTGCTGAGAACATACTCTTAAATAAAATTGTAATTACTGTCTATTTTGTTTTCGACCAACCCCTCCCGCCCGTCCCTGGCCAGTTGGTGAGATTGGGCAAACACATTAAGTCTCAGCTGGTCGACGGCGATACTGCTCGTCTCGACATATCCACTGCGAGTCCGCTGCACGAAGGACTATACACGTGCACAGCTTTCAACGAACTGGGCCAAGACTCGACGTCGGCGCGACTGATACTGTTGTCGGGTGAGTTGGTCAAATAAAAAAAGGCGGGACTGTTGACACGAATATATTCTATATTGTACTATGATATGTGGTATTAAAATGTTTTAGATTCGCAAGAGACCGCCAAGGCACCCCAGTCGAACGGACAGCGAAATACCATGCTCAATTCACCAATACTAGCAGGTGAAACAATTTGTAAATTAATAACAAAGCTGCATTGTATCCTGTATAGGAGAAAAAAATGTTTTAAGGTCCCCACACATAACAGCAGTGGCGGTGAAATTGCTGCAGTACACATTTCACCGATCATCGTGACGGCGGTAAAGCCAAGACAATAGAATTTAACGCCACCGCCTCCACCACCACTGCAGTGTGTGGGAACTTTTACAAATGTATTTGAATAACGTTAAATATATTTCTAAATTTCTAAGTTTTTCTGTAATACGATTGTTCCAAAAATCAATTAATGTCTTTCAAATCTATGATAATATTGAGAAGCAATATATAAGAAGTATTATTTCAAGTCTTAGTATCGTGCGTTAGTGAGAGTCAGCTAGCGTTTAAATCGTGTACAACTAGCGATATTCAGAGTTTCGACACCGTCCGTAAATTGTAAAAACTCGCAGGTGAAACGAACGACAGATGTACCAAACGGTTGAAGCGAAGTAGCGCGCCCAAATTTTACGCCGTACTTCACGACCGGATCGCCGACGTTGGCGAAACTGTTCGGTTCCTGTGCAGCGTTTCCGGTCACCCACCGCCGTGGTCGTCGTGGGAGAAGGACGGCCAGCCAATCGGCGTCAATAGCAGGATGAGGATCCGGGAGGACGACGATCACCGGTCGTTGGAGATATGCGACGTCACCTCAGACGATGCAGGTCTCTACCGAATCACCGTCGAGAACAAATTCGGAAAAATCCAAGCCACGGCCCGGCTCGAAGTGTTGAGTGAGTATATTATTTAAAACATCGACGACTATTATAATCGTTTCTGATATATTATATTGATATAAACATGTTATATTAAACGGTGTAATTATTAAGATTGTGTATAGATCATCCAGAGTTGCTTATACCGTGTTTTCAATGTTTTTCGTATTTTTAGAATTTTTTTTAAATCAATTATTTTATACCCGCGCAGCGGAGTACGATCGATCGTCGTGAGCGAGAATTTATATACTTGACACGTAAATAAATATCCATACCTCGGTAACAACTGTTGTTGAGCATGACTAATCATTTGATAAAAGTGCCGCTGAGATGTGACCTTATTTCCATACGTAACCTACCCAGACACAGTAGATATATGTGTAACATCGATCAGAGATCGTTTTTATCGTCTGTGGTTTTTAATGTTTATAACAATATAATATAGTAACGTTACGTCCACATTTGTTCGTCGTTTTCATTACGGAATCGGAAACAATCATTAATTTGTAATGTTTCAACAGCACACAATCAAACCACAAACGACGTTCAAATCACATCATCATCTAACGGCAGGAGACAGTCCGGGTCGGCCGCTTGTGCGGGTGAAAATTTTACTCTCAGCTGTGACATAAGGGGGAACTCCATGTCTGACGTTACCTGGTATAAGTGAGTACCTATTATTATAATATAATCACCGGCTTTTATTCCATCCTGACCCAGATGTATGTTAATTATATTATACTTAAATGTAAATGGGAGATGTGTAACAGAGTATCTAAAGTCACAGTACCCGCATCACAGTGGTGCGTATCATAAAAAAAATTCCTACCCCTCATAATATTGCTATACTGGCCTTTAAAATGCCCTATTCATTTTCCATCAACACCCACCCACCCATGTTATAATAGATGTTACCTGAGCAACACTTGGCCCTACCTATGTTACGCGCCACCGCCCCGGCAGTTCACAACAATTATTGGTTGGAAGTCAACATTATAGAGCCCAAAATAACGTACAACTATCCATATTTTTAGTGGGCGAATACCCGTGATATAGATATTTATATGTTTCACGCTCTCTTAACGATCGGTGCACACAGTGCCATAGGCGCAATTTCAATAAAAAAAAACTCAGGGTGCTTAAGTTCTGAATTTTCTGGGTATTTAAATTAAATTATAACTATGAGGCATTTATGACTTTTGAGGAAAATTGTTTTATGACAATTTAACATTGAGTACTTATAGTGTATTAGGTACATTTAAAAAAAATAATACAATAGTCAATTTTAATTTATTAAAAATTGAAAACAACTTTTTTATATTTTATTCAAAAAATATGACAAATAAATATTAGTATACTAGGTGTAACAGAAAGACTTGACGAAAACAAATCGATGGCGTAGCGCACAAGTGTGATAAGTGACATTTTCGTAATTGTTCAGGAGAACGATTTTTAAGTTTGAGATGTTATAACAAATTCAAAAATGTAACGAACTGTACGACATCTATCGGAGTAAATAATGAACTATTCACTTACAACGTTTGGGCATAATGTGCAGAATTGTATGATTAAATTGATTACCTATGCACTTAACTCATTTTTCAAAAAAATGTCACTTATCACACTTGTGCGCTACGCCATCGAAATACACAATCACACAGGCTGTCGGAAACTTGGGACTCATAAGTGAGCACCTACTGACAATAGTGATTCGTATAATATCGTAATTAGGTTTTTGATAACTGATGTCTGATAATAATATGACCGACCACAACGACCGGGTTTAGTAGAAGCATTGGGAAATAATTATTAATGTATTTACTAAATAGATTTTAATTAGGTTTTTAGACAATTGTCGAGTTCATTGTTTCATTCATTATATTATTATACTCAGATACTCTGATACCTTCATGTCTGGTGATAAACCGTTTTTGGTTTTTTTTTTTTTTTTTAAGGAGAAGTTTTGATACATAAACACATAAATTATTAGAGGGTGCTAATTTTAAAATTGGAGGTGCTAATACCCCCTAAGCCCCCCCCCTATTTGCGCCTATGCACAGTGCGCCATCGCCCATCAAAAATATAATATAACCTCACGATATATCCTGTGCAGGGACGACGAGAAAATCAAGCCCAACGGCAGGGTGACTTCGTCCCTGGACGATCTGGCGGCCAGACTTTCGATATCGAACTTGGAGTCGGCGGACACGGGTGTGTACACGTGCGTGGCCAGGTGCGAGTCCGGCGTCACCAGGTGCTCGACGGAATTGTGCGTGTTCGACACGAAACCGGCCACCGACTCGTATCTACAACCTCCGATATTCGTCGAGGGTCTTGTTCCTAAACGCACCGCCGACGAAGGCGAACCGGTCCAGTTGACCGTAAGACTCCAAGGTGAGACTACGCCACATAATATTATGATTATGATAATAATATGGTACCGACGTATAGTTCAACCGTATCAGATACGTATACCCATATGGTTTATAATTATTACGTTTTTTCGTTTTCAGGTGCAGTTCCTATGAGTGCCTCGTGGTTTAAAAACGACGTACCCGTTCCCGACTGCGCGGACTTTGAGTACGTGGTGGCCGACGACCGTGGCGAATTCGGCCTGTCGATTACCGACCCTTTTGTCAAGGACAGCGGCACTTATAGTTGCAAAGTGGCCAACTCGTTTGGACAGGCCGTGTCGAGCGGACAACTCGTTATAAACGGTTCGTATACGAATTTCGCGTTAAAAATATGGCAGCTATATGCCCGTAGTACCTATATTAATTATGATAAATAATAACAATATATTAATGTCGTATTATATTATTATCGTCGTCGTCGCTTAGAAATGTCCAGCGAACATCAGGTGCCAATGGTCGCCGAACTGAACAACAATCTGCAGGACGTTGGAGAAAAGACCGCGACGGTCATCACCGGAACCGCACTTCCGGCATCCATACTCAGGGGGCCATGTGACACAACCGTCCTGCGTGGCGCCAAAGTCGTCTTGGAGACATCGTACCAGGGCGATCCAGAACCCTGCGTCCAGTGGCTCAGAGCGGTGAGTCTGAACAAAATATTGTGTGTAATCATTAATCGTTCATATAGGATGAGATACTCTAGTAAAATATTCTTATTCATATCGAGTAATCGAGATCGGTTGTAAAAATATCATTATACCTATACACATTTTTTTCATAGTATACTTAATAAAAAAAATGTTTCATTTGTTATTTTGTAGGTATATTTTATTGATAAAATGTACTTACGAAATATTGATTGGATTTTTAACTATATAAAAAAAAGTACTTAGGATGAGAGTTTTTTCTTTTATTCGATATCAATATATTATATTATATTATACATATACTATATGGTATAGTAAATTTAATATTTATCACGAATAAAATATCGATAGATAAACCTTTTAAAAAGCTATCGATCGCATATTATATCGGAACAGAATATTATCTAATCTCGAATCTCTACAATGATATCATACGGTGATATTTATTTCTTATATAGGGCAAAGTGTTGGAGTCCAACGCGCATCTGTGCATAACCAACGGGCGCGGCGTGTCCAGTCTGATGATCGACTCGATCACGGCCGACGATTGTGGCAAGTACGTCGTTCGCGTCGACAACGGACACGGCAACGATTTCCACTACGCCTCTGTCGCCGTCGAAGGTACAATGACATATTATTATTATGATAAAACAATCGACCGTCGTCGTACTCTTCAGTATACCTACACAAGTCCTATGTGATACGCGTTTGAAGGGGAACAGTTAATTTTATTATTATATTGTATTATTATTATATTTAACGCGGGGCTACTTGTTTTTATATTTTTATACACGTCACGATTCGATAGAACGGTTTTTTTTTTTTTTTGTTTATTTAAAGCCTCAACAACAAAGGTTATTGGCTTACGGTATTTACATTTTTACATTTTTGGATATAAAAAAATTATGGTTATTACTAATCCTAAGTTTAAGGGTGTACAAAATAGTGATAAATAATAGAATAGAAAAAAAAAAGAACAATGTAATTAAATAAGGTTGTACAGTTTTGTTTGCTGTAAAAACATTAGGGTGTTATTGAAGTTTTTGAGGTCGGGTCCGAGTATTTCGTAGAGGTGGTCCGGGATATTTAGAGAGGTTTTGGTATCCGCGTATTTCCGGCAGTGAAGAAGAACGTGTTCGACGGTGATGATTTCCCCGCAGGTTGTGCATTGGGTTGGATCTTCATGTCTCATGAGGAAGTTATGTGTAAGCCACGTATGGCCGATTCTAAGTCGGTTGACTATGACTTCATGACGTCTCTTGGTGGTGAGTGTTGGCCAAGGGTTGATGGAAGGTTTGATAACATTTAATTTCGTGAGTGATGATGTCCAACGATGCTGCCACTGTTGCAATAGAACGGTTTTATTTTCGCAGAACAGACGAGAACACTCTACGAAGGGCTATATTGCAAAGCCCGGTGTGATTTGATTTACGTGATAATAAATCGAAAAATTTGAGTTAAGAATATCACATAATAATTAAAAAACAGTAGCCTGCAACGTTTACGGTAAAATAATATAATATGCCAAAATAGAGAGTTTAGTATTATTCTCATAATATGATCCACCTACGGCATAGTATAATTATTAGTATTATTAATCATTATTTTTCCGGAACACGGCAATTACACAACATATAATTATTATGGTATTGTTTTCTTCAACACAATATTCTATTCAATATACATTGGTACACTCAAAATACGTGCCTAATGCCTATACAATAATAATTATACTAATGTTATACGGATATGCGTAACTAGCCCTTAAAGATATTGGGGGGGGGGGCGCATACCATTTTTTTAATAAGTAAATTACAAATAAAATGTATAGGGGCTTTAAGAAATTCTAGAGGGGCTGAAGCCCACCCAAGTCCTCCCACCTAGTTAGTAGTTACGCCTATGGTTATACCACATCTCGGCTTACACAAAAACCTAACAGTATATAATGATATAATATTATCAGCTGTTATCAATATAATGAATCGATCGCTTCTTATTATAGTGTTATAGTATCCGTGGTCTTATAGTATTAATATTATACCGTGCAGTGTGTTGTATTAACCTAAATTACGATAAGCGCAAACATCATAGGCCAACGTATATTGTATTGTAATAACGTACGGCATATTATTGTCATATCGCATTATTATCGTATACTTACTGCAACTGATAATAGACATGGGTACTAGGGCAGTGCGGGACATATTATTATTATATTATTATTACGTTTCAAGAGCACGCGACGAACATCGAGTTTGGAGTTCCTATTATATATGACAAAATAATGCTCTCGACGGTGTAATGTCATCGTTTAATAATATTATAGTGTTGTATTATCGGCCACTCGGCGGTGGTTGAATTCGCATGAGGCTTTTAATATTTATTCTTTTTTTCTTTTTTTTTGTCGACGTGTGCATTAAATGCGTTTATAATTAATAATAACAACTGTCTCGTAGGTATCTATAATAATCACTCCGCGACTGCACCGAATTTATTCTGTACTTACTAATATTATATTATGACGTGTATGCGCCTAACCGCGGTATCATAATTATTGTGCGTGCACGTTCGGTTCGATAGTAATATGACAATATGAATTTATTATCACTACCGTGCTGCTCTGCGGATAGCTTCTCGTACATAGGTGGTCGCCTTAGATCTTATATTTAGTATGCCCTAAGGCGATCGGCATTCATCATACCAATATTACACCTAAAGCGGCTAAAGCGTAATAATATAATAATAATTTAATATCTTCGCGCGGCGTATTTGAACCGGTTTGTTCAATAGGATAAAATTATTGAAACATCTTCACCGCACGTCGTAAGTATACATATAAACTTAATGCATTTAAATATGCATATAATATATGTCCCAACTAGCTGTATAACCCGACTTTGCCCGTGAAAAAATGAACAAACATAAAATACGACTCTATATTATCGTGGGTGTATCTCAGTTCTATAATAGTATAAATCAGTTCTCGCGGGCAAATCGGCTTCGACGTACCTATCGATTTGTGAACTTATTGTCTACAAGTTACAACTCTACAGAGTCCGCTTGTGTATGTACTTATAGGTACCTTGGTATATTAATATAATATTATTGAACGTGGTTCAAACTACTCTATAAACTTTCCTGGTAGGTACCTATATCTCGAATGATAGTCTCTGAAACTTTCGTTAAAACAGGTTTTGTAGTTTTTGATTATTCCATACTCTTCAGACATAAGAAAGTGTTTATATTTGAATAACAAACAATAAATCACATGGCGGTTTTTTTATGTACCAATTTTTTTTTCAAAATGTTATCGCTATAATCAACCATATAGGAACAAAAAAAATATTCAATTTTCGTGAGCCAAAACAGTGGGTTGAAAAGAGTAACTAGAAACACACCCTCCAAGTCTCGAGTTATCTAATTATATAATTTTTACTGAAATCGGTTCTGTATTGTTTCCGAGATAAGCGCGTTTAAACATATGCCCAATATAAATTATATAATATACCATTGTCAATATCTGTTATTGTTTTATTATCAGCCAATATAATATTGGTGTTGTTAATCGCGAGTGTGTTTATAGGACCTCCGGACCCACCGGCAGGCAGACCTGTTGTCTCCGTGTTAGAGACTAGTGCGGACGTAACGTGGTCCAGTCCGGCGTACGACGGCGGTTGCATGGTCACTGGTTACGGCGTGGAAGTCCGACCGTTCAACCAGTCCGATTGGAAACTAGTGGCCGACAAGTGAGTTACACTTTTTCATTTTTTTTTTTATTCATCCCTTACCGGACAGCCCATTAATAAGTTTATGTTATACTCTAATGCGTGTATGAAGTATACAATAATATTTTACACGCATAGTAATAATTATGTTTCATTTTTTTTAAAACAAGTTTCGATTCTCGCGGAATCATCTTCATAATAATATATTATAGTTTATACAATATATTATTATATACGGGGGGGTCCACCGCGTTATCTATACAGTTTTCCCTTGACGGCTATGAGAGAAATCGGAAAAACGCAGTAGTTGGTTCTGAATATTATTATGTCACACCTATATGCTATGATGTAGCTCGTCGTATAGGTAATATACTATCTACCTACTTAATAGTATGTACACGTCATACGTGTATGGTTATGCTTCAACCGATTATTGCAATCACGCATCGAATGGACGACGAAGTGGTGTGTCGTTGGAAAACCGTCGATCGAATAATAATAACAATAATAATTAATAATATTATAATATAATATCGTTATTATGGTTGTTATTTTATGTAAGACGTGTGTCGTTAATAATACACATTTTTTATAAACAATAAGCATACGGTATCCACGCTTATATTATGAATTATAATATTATATTATTTCACTTTCTAGAGTAGAATTTTTTTTAAAAAAGAAAATAAATAGTTTTTTAACATAACCACGATCAATTGCCGATACGACAAATTATAGTACACTGTATTATATCCGAAGGTCGTCGATAGCATATAGTAACAATAACAATAATATTTTAACTAGATATTATCAGCATTACAATAAAAAAAAAAATCGATTTAAGTATTCAACGATCAATGTAAGCGCACGTGGTATCATTATATTTTACATAATAATTTTTCAATGGCGAAAGCGGGAAAATTATTTTCCAATTCAGCGTGCCTATAACTACTTCTTATTACGCTTTTACTAAACGCCGGAGTTTTCCTCGTCGAACAATCGAAACGGTCGTAATTCCGCCACTCATAATATGAAATCAAACACATATCGGTATAAATAAATTATATAACGCTATATTGTATGTTGTAATATACGATACCCGGGGCGAGTGCTTACAAACCATCTCCCCTATTCCCATCGAACAATTCGCAATTGTCACCTTCCTCCGTGCGAATCTCTTGCCATTATTTATATAATATCAACATACTAATATAATAATAATATACACTATTGTATTATGTGTACATCATACTATCGTTTTGTGCGTCGTGACGACTGTTCCCTATATCTATCTCTGTACAGGTGTCACTCGTTATCTCACATTGTCCGTGGTCTGGCACCCGGCGAGTCTTACGTGTTCAGAGTTCGAGCGGAAAACATGCACGGATCGAGCGAGGCGAGCTTAGAATCCACACCGGTGTACATACTGCAAACTGGTAACGTATACGTTAATGATAATATTATGCATTAAGCTTGACACGTTATCGTAGTTATATATTATTATGGGTCATATAATAATATTATATTGGTTATTAACGTTTTGGGTTAGATTAGGACAGTATTAAGATTTGTGCGGGGCCTGACCAATATATTAATTATAACATTATTATATTATAATAAATTATATCAATATTCGTAGCGAAATCCGATTTACGAACTAGCTGCGTCTGACCGTAGATATATTATTATATTATCACAATGACGTGTGGTGTATGACGTACATCGTGTACAACATTATTATGACGGTCACGTGCAAGCGTATATCTGAAGCACAATATCAAGGGGGTGGGGGACGATTAAAATGCTTAAACGCAACTCTTGATTTACAAAAGACTCCCATTCATGATGCTCCACATCGTCGACTTCATGAAGTTTTTTTTATTTTAAAGCAACTTTTTGTTTCATCGCCCCACCTCCCTCCCCTCCCAAGTCCAACATAAATACGCCACTGGACCCGAGGCGAGTTTGTAACCGAAAGCGTGAATAAAAACGACAAACGAACCGTCGTCAATAAAATATGGCTAGTGCGCGTATTACCTTATAAAATATTACATTAAAAACGAGTAAAAGTCCATAACAACATAATATCAATAATAAATTAATAACGCTTGTACAATTGGCATACCTACATGTATCTTTATACAATATCAAGTCACGCGGGTAGGCCTGCGAGGAGTGGGCGATAAGAGAGAGTCCAGTACACGGCGTTTATAAAAGACGAAAAGACGAAAAATAATATTATTCTTTCGGAATCATTACCAAACGCTTTGCCATAATATTATAATTATAGGTCTACAGAATATATACAGTATATGGCTAGACACGTTATTATTTTTCTTATAATTATTAGTTGTATGTTTTCGAACACTTTAGCGTTCATCTCACTATATCTCAGCAATCGTTGTAGATGGTTAATAATTTAAATAAAATTAATCGAATTTCTTCCATAGTAGGAATCTCATAATATAATAGTTATATTTTTTAATAACTCAAACTACTGTTGAAATAGTAATAAGTAAATAGTAAATAAGTATAATATGAAATACGTCTATAAACTCATAAATCATATTAAATTGGGTGATAACTCTGATGCAAAAATATGTTGTGGTAATGTATTGAATTAAAATTATATATTATTTACAATTGTATTCAAAAACTGTGTGTTCACAATTTTGTCCACAGTTATAACAAATCATTTTTAATAATTATATACTATAAAAATCAGATTTGATTCATAAAATATTAAAATAGAACTTAATAGAAAAAAAAATTTATTTAATGAAGTTGTTTGGAATTTACTTCACGTGGATTGATATACTCAGCATAGTGCCTATATAATAATATATCGTATAAAATGCATATAATATGATATACTTAAGTAAGTTCTACTGACTAAATTTTAATTATTTAATGAATTTATAGATTATGGAAACACGCTTTGGCCAAAAACAGTAAACATAGAAAACGGTGAACTATTCGACGGGCAATACGAAGTACTGGATGAACTTGGAAAAGGCAGATATGGGGTCGTGTATAAAGTTAAAGAACGTGAGACCAACAAATATTACGCTGCCAAGTTCGTCAGGTGCATCAAGTCATCGGACAAGGAAAAAGCCCAAGAAGAGGTGGACATAATGAACTGTCTGCGACACCCAAAACTCTTACAGCTCGACGCGGCTTTCGACAAGCCCAGGGAAGTGGTCTTGGTCACCGAATAGTAAGCAAGTATTTTATTCGAAAGGAAAACTCCAAATACAATAATTTTCTTCCATAATCACTCTGATCATTTTGGGTGATTTGTCTGTGGCAAAATCATTTTTTTTTGGTCATTATACATTTATATTATTGATCCAAATTTTACACTATTATTTTAAAAAAATACAATTAAAATTGAGCACACACTCAATGTTACACACTATTTTGTTTGTTGACGTGTGGGGATATTCGTATAATTTACCTGTGTTTTCCGTTTTGAAATAGATTATTCCAAAATATTAATAAATATCATCGAAAAACTGTGTACTGAATCGAATATTTATTTTCCCCTCTAGCATTTCCGGTGGTGAACTGTTCGAAAGAGTAGTGGCCGACGACTTCACGCTCACAGAAAAAGATTGCATTCTGTTCACCAGACAGATATGCGAAGGTGTGGACTACATGCACAAGCAGAACGTCGTGCACTTGGATTTAAAGGTACCTAATATTTTGGAGAATCTGATCAGTCGTTATCTTGGATCATATATAGTTTTTGTGGTGATAAGGTTGGGAGTTTTCCAAGTCTATAAGAGAGTACAAGTGTTTTTGGGCATTGTAAAAGGACTAGATACGTACCTAGTAAGATTATTAGGATTATTACTACGGAATAGATAATACGGAGATCGTTCGTTAGTATTTTCCCATTTCAAACTATAATAATATAAAGCTTATCCTTAAAAATGTATAATACATTTTTGTTTTTTTTCAAGTTTTACTATTGTGCTATTTAAAGAGACGAATTGAACATTTAGCTTCGTATGACTTTTTTTTTTAAATTTTACATTAAGAAATACACTTTTTAGTAAATTAATAAGTATAATGTGATAAAACGCAATAAAAAAAATCCAAATTTTGAATAAGAAGTCAACCGTTATTAATACTTGACTGTATTAAATTGAAATATTGTGATGTCAAGAAATATATAGTAGCATGTTAAATTTTGTTAGGAATTTAATGGACATTTTTTATTGTTGATTTGCGTTTCTATGGTAACAAACAAAGGGTTCCGAAAATCGGCCTCGCAAATACCGGTTAGAAAACAAAAAGTTATCAATATGATAATTTTCTGTACAAAGTTAATAATTATTGAACCAATTCAAATCAACTTCAGAACACCCCTACGGGTGCGTTTATGTTTTGTTTTTTAGATCATATCAATATTGTCAAAGAGCGCAATTATCATCCATATATCTACTACGCGCGTACTTACGGTGCAATGTTTTACACATACCGCTCAGAAAATAATTTTGCAAAGAAATTTGTATTGATTTTCTCGTCGAAAAAAAAATGTATATATTAATTATAATAGTATTAGTCTGTTTCGTGCGAACATATGACGTGTCACTCGTTCATTTAAAGACAATAATAATATGGTCGTTTTAGCCGGAAAACATCATGTGCCAGTCTCGGACCTCGCACTACGTCAAGCTCATAGACTTCGGGTTGGCGCAGAAAATCATACCGGGACAGCCGATGCGAGTGCTGTTCGGCACGCCCGAGTTCATCCCTCCCGAGATCATCGGCTACGAGCCCATCGGCCTCGAATCGGACATGTGGTCCGTGGGAGTGATCTGCTACGTGCTGTAAGTGTATCCGACCACAAAATATGCCCTTTCGGTGCAACCCCCCCCCCCCCCCCCCCCCCGACCAGTCGTTGGTATGACGTTGTTTTGGATTCTCACGATTTTCCGCTTTGTTTTCAGACTGTCCGGTCTGTCGCCGTTCATGGGCGACAACGACCCCGAAACGTTCACCAACATAACGAAAGCCGAATTCGATTTCGACGACGAGGCGTTCGACGCCGTCTCTCAGGACGCCAAGGACTTCATAAGCGCGCTGTTGATCAAACGCAAAGAGTACGGTGCCCTCAGAAGTTGTCCTTCGCGATAACGGCGTCGTGACTTATACGATGATTTTTATTAGGGTTCGGGACTTATAGAGCAGAGCTCATTTATTATAATATTATTTCCCTCTTAAAAACCTTGTGATCAGGGGGGATTTGATTATGTTTTACTCACTAACAATATTCAGGATTTCAGGAATAAGTGCAATATTTTTAAAATACATTTAATAACATTTTAAACATATCGTAATAGAATATAAACAAAGAAAAATACAGCACATGTATAAATCATTATCACAGTTGGCTATTATAACATTAAAGTAAAAAATTATTATCATTCATTATGATATTATGTGAATTATGAGAAACAATAAAAATATATAAATTCCTTGAGAACCGGTTTCTACCTGCTAAATGGAAAATAATTGTATTATAGCTTATTAAATGGCAATTCAAAATAGTTTGAAAAAAATATTAAAAATCATTAAATAATATTGAATTCACTAACGGATTAACCGTATTAAAATGAAATGTCGTATTTGAATTCTGCCAACCTTAAAACATAATATTTCTTTATTGCTCTGCTATACACCGATGTAGTATCGCTATAATTTCTGAACTCTGGTATCGTCAACTCGTTAAGATCGCATCGGTAATTGAATGGTTAGCTTATTGACGACCGCAACCCGTTTTGCAGGTTAAGACTTACTGCCAGGGAATGTCTGAAACACAAATGGCTGGCTCAACAGGACATGGACATGAGTTGCGTGATCCTGAGCACGGATAAACTTAAAAAATTCATCATCCGACGAAAATGGCAGGTTCGTACCGATTTATATAAATACAATAATATTACTATCGTTATCGTACAATATAGTATAACACGTCATATAAGTTATGCAGCGTTTTGCGTGATGTGTACCTTTAGTTGATTCCCAAGTAGCGCGTAATCTATATAACTAAGCTTGCGATAATATTATATTAAATTATAAAATTTTATTAAAATTGTATTTTTTAAGTGTTTTCGAGTGATTGACAATAACGTGAATTTTTAATGGTTTTTTTCGAATAATACATTACTGAAACTTAATCACATACAATATCATACAAAACTTATTTAACCGTAATGATAGATAATAGGTAGTAACCTAATGTGTTCTGATAACATTAACATTAACATAATATTAACAATTTTTTATGTTATGTTTCGAGTACCTGCATCACAAAAATCCTTTAATATAATAAAGTAAGAAAAATTAATGAAAACATAATAATAATCACTATAATCGATATATTTCAGTTTTTAAGAAGTTGACATTTTAAAACGGCGTAAGACGTAGGCATAATAAATTCACTCATGTCGGACTTAATGTATATAATTAGTTTTGTCGATATCAACAAATAAAATAGTTTTTTTTTTTTTTTTATTAATTTTGTTAATTTCTTTTATATATTAATGAACTAATAAATTATCATTTAGTGCGAGGATGCGTAAGAATACCCAAAGGTGTACTTCTACAGTCTGTAACTCTGATAATTGATTCACCCCATAATGGCAACATTTAACTGTTGACTTTCATTTGACAAAGTTTCTAATAAATCAATATTATCATTTATAAGCGCGTAATATTTGATTTGTGTTAGATCCCACGCATAGGAGTTAATTGAGGGGCGACATTTCGAAAAGTACTATTTACATTTTATTTTTTTTTTTTTGAGAAATCCTGATTTTCTATTTTAATTACCAGTGGAAATAGTACGTAATGTATTTAACTCAATTATATTCCCTATCTTCATACTATAGGAAATAGTACAATATACCCTACTTTGGAATTGGACGTTTTGTACAATTTAAGGAATTGGTACGTTTTGCGTCAATTTGTCAAAATATGAACAAACTATTATCATGGGAAATACTTTTTAACATAATTTTGGAAATAGTGCATTTAGACAAATTTTGCCTTTGGAAATTGTGTGTTTTGCGTCATTTAAGAGTTTCGGTCATTCAAGTCATTTTAACAAAATAAATAAATTCCTCGTCCAATTTTGCATATGAATCCATGTATAACTCAATTTCGTAAATTTTCGAAATAGTACGTTTTGAAATGTCACCACTCGCCACTCATTTAATGTAATCACATCTTAATATAATACAGTCTACGATATACGTCGAAGGTATGACGACCGTTTAGTAGGTACCTATGTAGAATTATTTTGCGGTGTTAGTACAGATGGTGCCGAGCCTAATTCAATCGATTTTGGAGGCTCGACAATGAAATCGATTGCCTTTTTATCGTCCATTAATTTAAACGATTTCGAGTTATCTTGCTATGCTCAAAACTCGAAGAAACTACGTTCTTATGTTTAATAACACTATAATTGATACCCGGCATCTGTCCTAACGGCTAACACCGTAAATTCATAGTTTTATGCATAAACCTAATACTATAATATAATGAATGATATTAATATTATATAACTTGTGTAATATTTTTTTATTTAACAGAGTAGATTTTTGATTTTACTAACACGTTTTTTTGTGCTTGTGTGTGTTTTGTGTGTTGTGTTTGCTGTAATCAGAAAACGGGCAACGCAATCCGTGCTCTGGGCAGGATGGCCACTCTGTCAGCGGCTAGCAGACGAGGTGTCAGCGGGGGTAGCAGTGCTGGAGGAGGAGGTGGTGGAGGAATGGGAGGTGGATGCGGAACCGGAAGCGTTTTACAAAAGCTAAAAATGGCCTGCCTGAGAGAAGAAGAGTCGGCCGGCGAGGCACCTTCGGAAGCTCTACAAGAAATTGCGATAACTGAAACAACCAAAAATGGCAGTGGCCATAGGTCTTGTGACGCTCGCAGCGACAGTGGATTTAGTGATTGTCCATCTTTAGCTTCACCTACTGCGACGCTCGTCCGGCCGGCAAAATGCTCATCTGCCATATCCGAAGAAACGCCACCGGTTTCCGACCAGGATCGTTCTCCTCCACCACCCTCTCATCGTTCTCCTTCTCCTACCACTCATCGTTCTCCTTCTCCCGTTACTCGTCGTTCTCCATCTCCACCACTCACCGGTCGTCCTTCTTCTCCAGCCATTCGTCGTCCTCCTTCTCTTGATACTCGTCGACCTACTTCTCCCGCCACTCGTCGTCCTCCTTCTCCTGCTACTCGTCGTCCTCCTTCTCCTGCTACTCGTCGTCCTACTTCTCCCGCCACTCAACGTCCTTTTTCACCCTCAACTCGGCGACCCTTGTCTCCTACAACACGTGGTTCATCTTATACAACAACTCGTGGACCTTCTCCTCTGGCAACTCATCTCCGTTCTCCTCTTCCGCGAAACCGTCGTGACGCCATTCATCCCGTTCATGACGTACAAATGCCCTCAGGTACCGGAGTCAGTGGCATGTGCAAGACAAACCGGATAATCTTTGATAATGGACGGCGTGACGGCCAAGCATCATCGCCTGGTATTGGCGGCGGCGGCGGCGTTCAGCGTAAGGAACCCATTCGTATACAGACGGCTGACAATTTCCAGAAGGCTGTCGCCTTTTGGAAACAATAAAATATTATATTATTTTATAACAATACATGGTGATTACGTCACCCTCTTAGATCGGGTGTGTTTTTATTTTCTTTAACTAATCATAATAATATGCTATTATCGAACTATTATTATACATTCATTATTATACCTACCTACATATTATATCGTCTTGAACAGTAAGACATCTCGTTTTCACTTTTCAACTGTTTTTTTTTTTTTTTTTTTAACTTACTTTTATTTTATACTTTAGATATGATATTTTACGTGTTATTTCATTATTGCCAAAGCTTAGACATTTAATTTATAAGTGTACATATTAATATTATTATCACATAGAGGTTTGATATAATTCGATGAACCATTTTTCGCATTTCATAATGTTATATTATACACACGTGCCATTGACCGTAAGCCGTTTATACAAATTTATTATTTACTATTTTATTATTATATTTATATACATTATACATTATACATAAACATACCTATTTTATCCATCATCGTGGCTCATCGCTCATTATTACCGATAGGCCTATGTTATTGTTATATCATATAGGTGTCTTTAATAACAACATTTTTAGAAGTCTGCTTTTTATTGTTCACCGTCGGGATGTTTGTATTTTTATGTTCTTTTTCGTGTGTAAACTTTTACAATAAATTATACATATATACTTAGCAGTTAGCGATTTATATAATATAAACATACAAATTTACAAGTCTTACACAATACCTACAATAGCATACAGTTATACCAACACATCACACGATACACAATGTGAATCATAAATGTGTACGCATAGTTGATTTTCGTCGTACACTCGAACTGTATTTTTCACTTAAATTTATTTTATAAAATATAATACAGCTCGACCCACAGCTCGAGGAGTAAATGAACAATGAAGTGTGATTATAATGTTATTATTGAAATTCAACTACAGGTAATACTTTTATTATAGGTACCAATCATACAGTTATTAGTTTGAAAAATTAAAAAAAAAATGTAACACGGCGTTCTGGATATGCAATTTAACTTCACTTATGTTATTAGTGCGTTTACGTGGTATCTCTAATGCAAGGTAAATAATTGGTAACCTACCATTATTGTGATTTAATGAAATTTAATTTATGCATAATACAATTATTCAAAGATAGACATTTCTTCATATTATTTAGACTACTTTTTTTTTCCTTTGAGTTCTGTATATAGGCTATATTGGCTTACAAGCATATGACAAATACTGTTATGTTATAAAAAAAAATTATCAGCATGTGCATTGAAGCTATATATTATGAGCACTTATACCTCACTATTTCAAAATAAATAATTTATTCATTCAACAGTACTAATTACTAGGGAGACTGGCCTGCACATCTCCACATTTAATGGTTTTGTAGACTTATGTTATCTACAAATGATGGCAGCAGTGAAGTAGTAATGTTCACACAGAACCTCCATAAAAAAAAAATAATAATAAGTACTAACTAGCTACTAGCGACGCATATGTGCATTCTGGCGTAGTCACTCCACCAGTGCTAGCGACGCAAATATGCGTTTTCGCTTTTGTCAACTGGAATACGGAATATTGTTTGTACGCTCATACTGGTTTGTTTATAATATCACCTACAACGTATCACCTACAACCAGTGTTCGGTTCGGACTTATCTAGATAATTGGTTAATGAATATTTAAACCATTTAGAGGATGATAAATATAATTTATTCTATAGTGAAGTTCTAGTTATTACCTTAAACACGGCGATGAGAATTATATCGTTCGGGAAATGTAGGTATACGGGAAATGTGCTTTAACAATCTGATCACTATAGCCACTAGGACTAGGATATCCTGACTTTAAAAGTTTTAGTGCAACTTCTTGTTCCATACTACAAACACGCTCTATGAGATTGTAGTTAATAATCACATTTTAGTACCTATAAATAATGACAAAAAACTATGACACAGTAGAATCTATTGTTCTCTAATCTTGTACAAATGGTGTATCTATTTCACTGCAGCCAAAGTCATTCTTCCCGCGGGAAACGGGTTTTGCAGACAATTTATGAATGGGAGCGTCTCTTTGATGACGAGAGTTAGTGCAGCAAAAAAAAAAAAAAAGACCTATTTATATTAGATCATAGTTGCATTTTATTTAAAACATCGAACACATAATATATTGCACATATTTTAGATTTTGGTAAATAGTAAATATAATATAACTATTAATAATAAGGTAATAATAATTGAGGAAAAAATAATTACAAACAACTTAAAACACAAACGAAAAACCAAAACGTAATAAACATTATAATATTATGCTAAGCTATTGGATTTACATCTTGTTCTAAACGAATACATTTGATGAAAACAAATTAATAAATTAAATCAAGCGAAAAAAATCCTATTTGAAACATTTTTATTAAAAACCGGGTTCAAAACGCAGTTGGGCCGGGGGGGGGGGGGGGGAGGACGTGGGACAGCGATAGAAATTAAAACTTTTTAATATTATCATTAAAATAATATAATCGCATCGATACTTACAATTTCATAACAATCGATTACACGCGCTTTGAAGAGTATTTAACTCAATAACATATTTTTAATATAGCGAAAAATCACGTGAGCTGCACTTATAAGGTATATTATTGTTGCAGTGTCTTGTGAGCAAACATTTTTCTTAGGTGTTCGAGAGAGTATTGTGCCAAACATTTTACGAGCGGTGGAAAAACGAAAAACTGTACACCGATATGGCGATATACATATTATTATACGTTTGTTTATTATATTCTAAAAGGTTTGAGGTAAGGTGTGCAACAATATAATATAAGAAAAAAAAGCAAAGAACCGAGTGAACGTTGAAGTTCTTTCCTTCAAAAAACGAAAAATAAGAAAAACATCGATCGTAATAATAACATTATAGTTGTGGTCGAAGACGCGAATCGATTGCGCCAATAATCGAAGGCAAAATAAAAAACAAATTATAATTTCAAATATACGATAGCAAAAAGGTTATACATCAATTGCGCCTACCGAATTCAGAACATAATACTATTAATAATATTAATTGATGTGTGTTTGTATTATTCGGTAAAGTAATACGATAGGTTAGTATAGTAGTATTGTGTGGTGACTTTAGGTGAAACTTACAGTAAAGGTTAATTCGGATCCAATTAAGTTTTATCAATTTATAGTATAAAGTATCTAATCTCACTGACTACGTTAAATAATTATCATACGATTCATACAACATCAATAGTGTATTGAAACGGGTTGTACCTACGTCTGGTACGTTATCGAATCATATTAGATAATATCGCTGGGGTCGGAACAATGTTTGGTCATTGACTCAATTTTTTTTTGTTCAAAATAAATCGTCATAGTGTGATTGTTCCGTTGAACCTATATAAGACTTTTGATCCGTATACAGTGGCTATTTTATTTCATTGTATGAGAGGTTTTTTAATGATTATATAGATAATTAATGTATGGAATTTCCAAAAAACCTACCTTGGCCATCTAATTAAGTATTCAAATTTAAAATATTATAAGTCAAGTAGGTAACTGTGAAGAAGAAAATTTAGAATGAATCAAGTAGGTATGTTTATACTAGAATAGTAATTATTTTATGAGTAAATATTAAAATAAAAAATAATGAATTATCCTTGGCAACCGTGTTTGCTAAATATTTTGTAGGCATTTATTTTATTACGAATAGTAGTGACCATTTCAAAATATAAAGTTGATTTTGCTGTTGGTACAAATGCGTGCTTACAATTGTCGATATTGTGATAAAAAAATATTTTCAAAGAAACATGTATTTTCGTTTTTTTGAAATTCTTTATTATCAATCCATAATCGTCAAAAAAAACCTCAAGTACAACAACGCATACGATTCACACAGTATATTGTATAACTATGTACCTATATAAATATATTTTTACTAATGTAAGCTACAATTTATGTTTTATAGTAGATTTTATTTTTCTGTAAGTCACAAAAACCTTGGCATCATATTATAAAATGTAAATTCCACAAACAATTTATTTAAAACGTATCATGTCTCGTTTTGTGGCGCAATTTATGTGTAACTTTTTGATTCGAAAGTGGTCCGTAAAATACTCTGCTCAATCGACGAACAATCGTTAGCAATAATATAGATCATACACAGGCAGATTCGAGAAAAGATACTGAGATCGGTAGGGCACCCTCGAAGTAAATTAATAATACAATTTTAAACTACCTACTGCACGCTTATTTATAATATTATTGTCTAATCGTATCGAGACTAATAGAATAAATTTCGATCGACAAACATAACGCAACAGACGAAAATTGTACTATATAGAGACGACGCTGAGATTCAAACGAGATTCAATCGAGGGAACAATGGACGGGTGGGTTAGTGGAGCATAATATATTATTGTAAAGAGAGGTATTTTCGTGATAGTTCTTTCAGCATTTGTATAACGACAATATTATTACCTATTAACCGGTAAACGAACGAATATCGTAAAATGATAACCATATTATGGTAATACTGTCGACCGACGTACAGTCGTCGAGTGCGTTCGGTACATTAATTGTTTGCTATCAGTTTATAAATTTCATGTCGTTATTTTAATGTACCACGAACATACCTTTCTTTATCCTATACGACCGCGACGCGACTACGATAGGTACGTACGCTAATAATAATACTTGGGTATTTATAAAAGGAGACAATAATACTATCGACATTGGCACACTACACTTAAACATAATAATTTTTTTAAACTACAACAAACGAACATTTATAATAATAATAATAATAATAAATTAAACTATGTGAAGATTCGCGTAGTACAGACATTGCGGATTATAATAAAGTGTAGGTAATATAATCAAGATAGTCCCACAATGCTAAGTGTATCGAAATATTGCAAAAGCTGACAACGTAAATAAATTATAAAATTTAACAATATGTCTACGAATACGTATTCCAACTGCAGACGACGCGTATTGATGAGAACTCTGCCCGATCCGTATAATGTTGTATAAGAGGACCAGAGGATACCGGTTCCACGACGATCTTCGGGAGTTCCGGTGCATTTAATATAACGATTCTAATGGTTCTATATGGGTACGGATTTAATTTAAAGGTGGCAAGTGTGTGGCATTTGATTCGTTGTTGCGAGGAATCGATTGCTGTCGAAGGGGGTTTTATTTTACCTAACTTGACAATCGCAGTATTTCTCGCCAATGCGGTTCTCGACCTTCTGGCTTGTCGCAGAAACGGCAGCAGAAAGACAGAAGGCAGAAAAATGTAAGGGTATTTTACGGACAAGGGTGAACAACAATTATTATGGACCGGGTAGAGTTCTGGTGCAGTGTTATAAATTTTACAGTACGGTAAAATTGTGATATCGAATCGTTATGGTTTTTCTTAAAACGTATGTGCGTTTCGGCACACTCCACAGCCCAACGCGAACTCTTCGCCCGTTGGCGGATGTTTGACGTGCAGTGGGCATTCGTCTACGTTCAAAGCCGTCGCTCTTGGGCCTGCCGAAACAAATACAGTGTCAATAAACGATATAGTTACGAAACATTTTTAAAATATGATGCCTAGCTAGGTAGATAATGACCACCCTATTGAACTAGTCATATATTTTACTGTTTATTTATCCATTTTTTGAAAATGATTTTTCTCAACCTCATTTAAATGAAGATACAGTACATTTCCATGGTCGAGTAAGTTGGTAATACCTATTTTTGAATTGGCTTAACAGTGGTTACAAGTGAAAAACAATAAACTTTTTGAATGCGTGAATGATATTATTTTTAAAAAAAAATGTCATTGTATTTGTGAGAGTCAGATTATAGAAAAAAACCGAGCTCTGATTTTTTTATCAGTCGAATATTAGCCGAGATCCCGGCAATGTAAATCGATGAGTGTATTTTTTTATTTTCATACTGAATACAGGTGCATTCGGGTGTTAAGTATGTCCTCATGCCGGAAACATACTTAAATATTTTGGGCAGGCAACGGAACAATATCATATATTTATTAGTATTATTATTACAACAATAACCGCATACCTGCTGGGCACGGTGGTAGTTCCTGGGGCAACAGGTTGGTGACTCGCTGGAAGTCGTCATGGCAAGCGTTGCAAAAGTGGGTCGTCCCGAAGCAGAAGAACACGGCTACCGAACAGCAGTATCGACACTTGTACTCGAGCAGGTCGGTGCCGTGTTTGGGGCACATCTGAGCTCGGGCCACGTCGCTGCACCCTCCACACACCAGTTCTGAGGGGTCGTAATCGGTCCCACCTACGTCCAGCTCGCACCGAGCTTCGCCGCCGTAGTAGGCCTGCGAAACGTAACGAAACGATTTATTAAAATCTCGTTTGTGTGTGTGTGTGGGTGTGTGTGTGTGATGATATCGTATATATTGCACTATAGTATTGTGGCGTTCGTGTCGTTATCACGATCGAACACCTACGATTAAATAATAAACAGGTACGCGTATAACGTATAAGGTGCGCGATGCGCGGTTTATTTCAGAAAAACAATTACACTTTACAAAAGGCGAACAGATCGAGTCGATCGGTGCTCGTAGGTGAGCGGCTGGTCACGTGCGTTTTCGTAGAAAAAGAGCGAGCGAACTACGCGAGCGGCGAAAAATGAAAGCGTGGTTTTTTAATTACTTTTTTCTTAAGTCTTACGGACGTGCGTGCGGAGCAACGGTAAAAACGAGAGAGAGACGGGTCGGCCGCCGCAACCAAGCGGAGGCCGCCGTTAGGCGCGATCGCAATGTGACCAACCGTTGAACAATATCAAAGATATACGATACTACCGACGGCAGAGGGAGGTCATGTGGCATTGGTCCGCCACAGTATTCTTGTAAATAGTGTCCAAAGAGGTTTAAAATTAAGGGAAATACGAGTCAAGGATCATCTCGCTCAAGACTCTTGACCATGATTCGTGCGTAGGTGAACTCTATGCAGATTGCCTGGTAGGTAAAGTAATTAGTAATCCAGATTCCAGATTGTAAATAGTTGTATAACTTTTAGGAATTTGTATTTAGAAACTTATAAAATGCATAGAACTGAGAAGTATTCAAAATGCTAAATACTATAATAAATAAGTTTTTATAAACACATATAATATTATTTTATTGGGATGAAAAATTGATTGAAAAATAAAAACTCTTTCATAGTAAATGTTAAATATTATCACTTAGACTTTGTGTGACAGTAGTTAATTAATTACATGTTTATAAACATCCTTCTAAGTAGTTAATAATAATAATAATTGGCTTATATTATCGCAATGCCTTCGATTCGTGATTACGAAACTTTATATGAAAATGTCTGCTAGCACACTTGATTGACGATGTGGTCAACTTACTTTTGTACACTTGAAGCACACATAGTAAGCGTACTTCTCCATGGCATATACGGCCGCGTGATCGCTTTTCATCGTACAATCGCCTTCGTATTCCAAACGCATCAGAGCCTTTCGCTTGACGTCAGCCATCAGCTCCCTGATCGGGTCCAGGACTTCGGCAAGGCACGCGTGCTCGATCTGAGTCTGTAGCAAGAGCACAAATATAAGGAGTTCAAACGAGTGGTGTCGATAGTAATATATTATGTTACACCCGCGATACTCACCTTGCAGATTGGACACTGTTGAAATCCGAACGTGATCCGGGGTCCTGCCCATTTGTTGATCAGCACTCTCTTGCAACACTGATAGTGGAACACGTGTCCGCAGATTAGCTGGAAAGATAATATTTTTCACATTCTGCGCCGTATCACGGTTGATCAATTTTTTGAGTTTAAACTCGTAATCGATCATTAGTATCGTAAATTGTCTCTGGCCATTTAGTTATACCTGTATGGACGGTGCAGCAGACAGGGCGTCCGTGAAGCAAATCATACACATGTCATCGGCGTCTTGTTTGAGAGACGGATTTTCGTCGGAGGCACACCCATGCAAACACGGTAAACATTTCGTCTCGCCTTTGATTCCCCCGCACAAATGGCCGCATTTCAATATTCTTTGACATCCGGTTTGAGCGTGTAACTGTAAATAATTTTATTTAAATGACGAGATCGAACGGAAATGAAAATATGATAAAGTGAACGAAGTTATAGAAAAAAAAAAATAATATATAATATAATATTGTGTTCATAAAATTGTACGATCGGAATAAAATTGATTTCGAAGACCACGTTTGAATTGTTTAACTCGAGATTATAAACGCTGTTTTTATTTTTTTTTATTCATATCACAGTGCGGGAGACTCGAAACATAAATAACTGTGTATGTAGGTAATGATGATAATATCCATTTTTATACCTGACACTCGTCGTTGGCGCAGACGTTACCGATGGCGAGCAATCCGTCGTTGCTGACCATGCCACAATACCTACAGACTCCGACTCTGGCAAGTTGCAAAACGTTGGCCCTGGCGACCGGTGCCGACAAGTCTGAAGAGCCGGACGTCGTATCGCGAAACTCGACTAACGCTTGCAAAGTGGCCTTGTCGGCTAGCGCAAGTAACCAAAACAGTTTGGTCCGTCCACACCCTTCGTGCAGGTCGACTCTGATTGCTTCTTCTTCTTCTTTGCACACCTGAAAACACACAAATCACACGCAAAACATTAATTAAGTATTATTTGTTTTGGTGTCCCTAATCTTTCAAGCGTGTAACACTAGTAACGCATGAGTCGTCACCATGTAGGCGTATTTACTTGTCTCTGGTGATGTTTGGTTTTCCTGTGCAAGTGTAAGATCCTGTCGCAGTCGACACAAAGATTTCCGCACGTGAGACATTGTATCGATGCCGCTGTTTCGCCGTCGTCGTGGTTCGTACACAGCGGCTAAAAATATATTTTATCCGTTTACTTCATTATACTATAATATCAATTGATGCAGGAATGACATTATCACGACAGTTAAATTCAAAAACGTAAACCGTGGTTGCTAATTATTCCAAAGAATCATATTTAATTGAACTAATTCGATTATACGTAAGCGCCTACGTAGGTAGGTACTGTATATTAATACAATTATCGTCAGATCGATAAATCGACAAATCGACAATCGCCTAACAGTAGTAAGTTTGGTTTATAATTTCAATGATGTTTGCCCGAAAACATGCAGGTTTTTATGTTTCAACAACAACAATAGAAAATTCTTTTTTTTATTTTTACACTGGTTTTTATAATTTTCCTAAGCCTTGTCTAAATGTAGCTGCAGACATTTTATTGTCACCTACGGTCATACGGGCCAACGAATAGCCTCTTGAGATATTATACTCACTCTCGGTGGAACTGGCTTCGAATCTTCCGGTTTAAACCACTGACCAGACGATAACCTCTCCGCATGCTCCGGATGCAACACGCAGTGCGAAGCTAGGGCCAACCACAATACGGGATTTTTAATGCACGATACCATTGTTCTGTGTTCTTTGCTTATTCTTGTCAGTTTCAGAATGTTTTCGGCAATCACTGCCCGGGTCGTGTCAATCCAGTTTTTGTTACCTCCCAACTTTCCCTAAACAAGAATAATATCAAAAGATTATTAGTTATTTTATTTTGCACCCAGCCCTCGGTAATAGCTTACGTTTGACAAATCCCATAAGATCTGTATGATGTCATCGGCCAGTTTTCTGTGAGAAAACCCTTTGAGATACCACAACGAATCGTCTTCGTCCAAATCAACGTCATGGAGCTTCAACGAATTAACGACTTTGCTACCGTTTGCACCCTTCACTTTCACTTGCAATATCAACGCTTTCGCAATGATGCTCAAGAAACTATCGAGCAGTCCTACCTGGTAGGTTTTAGACGGTGGGCTGGCGATGGAAAACCCGGTAGAAGGTAGTCGAGATCCGGTCAACGAAGCCAACGCGCTAGGAGATACCTCCGGCAATACTCGTTTGAGCAATAACGTTACCTGGAAATCAGTGAAGTTTTTATTTATTTATTTTTGATGAAAATGACATGTACCTAGCTACTGTTTATATTTATAATCTTGCAAAAATTTATATCGTCCAAAACTTAATTACTTGTCTTTGGACTCTGGCACTGCCCGTGTGCAATAAACTCAATAAGTTCGACAGCAGATCGTATTGATTTGCTAGATAAGATCGACCGACGTTGCTCCCGCTTAGAGCTGATACCATCGACAGCATTTCGAAACAATAAGAGTCGGTCGGCGTGGCCGTACCATTGTTGGATGTGGTATCGTATTTGCAAACGGACTTTTCCCACTCTTCACGCATTAGGATTGCTTCCTTTTGGATGGCGTCTACTATGTGAGTGCACACCTGGCGCAAAAAAATATTACAAATATTATTAGGAAAGCGTGTTCGTTCACATTAAGGGTTTAAAAATGGTTACTTGTTTTTGCAAATGGGTCAATTTGCTTTGACTGAACAAAATTCCAACCATATGCTCTTTTAGATCTTTGCTTTCTTCAACACTAGAATCCATCGACGTCACTTTTCCTTGTATTAGTTTCCCGAAAACCTTAAGAGGACAGTTGAATTATTGTAGAACGATTCGTATGTAAATATTTTAAATAATTTTTCTTTACCTGGAATGTGATAGATCTGAACACTTTTAGTGTTTCATTTTCACATTGCCGATGTTGTATGGTAGAATAACTGTATTGGCGACCGTGCGAGAGAGACTCTCCCGACACAGTTCCAAGAACTTTGATTTGTCTTACACGCACCGATGTGTCTGCCCCTCGTGTTTCGACGCAGAGGACTTTGTGCGATTCATCTGCGAAAATATCGGATGAGTCGTAAGTATAACGTATATTATTAGTAAATCAATGATTTGTGTTTTTAAACAACCACCCAAATTACCATGTATGTAAACTCCAAGCCAACCACTAAATCGAGTATCGACATCGATTGTTTGTATTTTATTCAGCTGTTCGATGGTTTGGCCGGACGAAAAAACTACCGTCGATATTTTGTTCTATTCAAAAACAATATAGGTAAAAACGTTTTTAAAACCAATAAACGTCCACTCTGCAAACAATGTGGTATTGGTATATACTTACATTTAAATCCCGACAATTATCGAAATGAACGTAAAGTGCTTTCGGATTTTCAGACGCATGATTGCATTGTATCGTGATTGTTTTGAATTTGTTTTTGTCGTCTTCGCTTGATTCCCAAAACGTTTCAGTCGTTCGATCGATTAAATTCGGGACCATTGCCGGTCTGCTGGTTGCAGTGATTTCTGTATTTTCCGTTATATCTTTGAGTGACGACACAACGAAGTTATCAGTCTGTTAAGTAAAAGACAATAACGTTAATTCCCCACAAAATTGTGTCAATTATAATAAATTTATGATCGCTTACCAAAGATACACCTGGTTGAGTGTCCTCGCAAATGTCTTGATAATCTTCACTGTGCGACAAAATTTTGCTGATATTACTAAATACTTTACTCCTTGAAAGCGAAAAAAACGAAATAAAAAATTCAATATAACTCCAAAATATTAATTTATTATTATTGTCAATTACCTATGCAAAAACATGTGATCAGATGGGGTAAAATTAATATCCCAACAGCGGACGGCCATCATCTGTAGCGCAGACCCCGGTGGTAAGTACAGCATCAGATCAGAGACAGTCTGCAAAAACTGATAGAACACCTGTGGTAGTGGGTTGACGGATTCGCCAGCTAGGTATAAATCACTTAGAGGATGTCGACATCGTGGGTCAGTGGAGTCATTGGTCCCGTCCACCGTGCGGACTTCAGCAGATAGCGCTATCACGAACCACCACAAGAGGTCGTGCAGACACGACGCTCGAGACACTTCATGCAGTAACCAGTTGAGTGCCTGATAAAATAAAATAAAACAATTAAACTAGGAAAACAAAATAAAATGTTAGAGGTTACACTTGAAAAATTTAAAAAAGCAATTGAATATAATATAATGATGTAGTTTTTTAGGTAAATTGATAATACTCTATACAACCTCCTCTCAAAATAAATCCTATTTGTGCCACTGGAGAGTATTTCAGAAGAAAACAGAAAATATAGATTTTTTATAAAGTAGGTAAACTGTTAAAGTACTTACTTGTAAACAAGATAATAGGTTTTAAACATTTTCAATATTTTTGAATAGCGGTTGGAATATTAGTTAGTTTATTTTAATAAAAAAATGTATTTTTGTTATAAGTTATTTAAAATTAAAATGTATAAAGGTATAAAGTATGAAGATAAATATAACAAAATTTATAAAATTTATCCAATTTACTTTTTGAAGAAAAATGCAAATGCTCAAAGCATTGGACACTGAACACTTACAGTACATATTGGTTATAGCAAACGTACTTGTGCATTTTCAAAAACAAATAGTTCTCAAATTCAATAAAACCATAATATAAGTACTATTATTCTTACTTGTAGAGCGTAACTGCGGCATGCGGCTTTCCTCACCGCTTGTTTCATCGCCCATTTGAGATCGGCCAAATTGTGTGCTTCCACAATAAACGCCATCGACGGTCTGTTGAAAACGTTTATTTCGGACACATTTTCGTTGTTCGATATTATACCGTCGGCTGAACAACCTACCATAGTAGTGTTGTCGACGCTGGGAACGAGCGCCTGTAAGGCCGCCGAGGGCATACATACCAGTGATAATCCGTTGTCTAGAAGATAATCATATAAAATAAACATATTATGTATTTGATACTCCTTATCTATGTTGTGATGCGCTGTCGTGAATTCACTCGTGATACTTTAAATCATATAAATATTTTAAGTTGACCATACGTACCAGGATCGATTGCACTATTGATCCGTTTTCGACGGTTGATCATGTCTTGGCGTCTTAGTGGTGACTTCTCTATGTCCATCGACACAGACCGATGAAAGCTTCGCATCACGGTTCCATCCACTACATCTTGGCCCGAGGACGAGATCTGGAAGGGCAGAAGAACATATTAAAAATAAAAACGAAAACTCTTGTTGAGGTTGAGAAGAATAAATATGTACCCCCGCTGAATCGCAGTCTTGAAGTTGCTGCAGGAGTGCATCGTTGCAGGTGTCGGAATGCAGCAGTTCTTTACAGGCTGCAGGATTCTCGAGGCTGCCCAGACATTTGAACTCGCCTACGGCCCAAGGGCCCGATGTTGAGGTCGGCTCGTCACCGGTCGATCTCCCGCCGCTGGTGCTGGCCAAGTCCAACAGAAACATGGCATTCTCTTTGAACGTCACGTGTAGGCTGTCGACCAGCTCGTCGTTGAAGTTTATTCCTGATTAAAATGGACGTATTATAATGTTGATATATTATCGCTATTGTATGCAGAGTGTAAAAGGAAGACCTCGCAAATTATATAAGTTTTGTTCTAATCAATATTTTTCATTTTTTTTTTTTTTTTATATATATAATTAATTGATATTTGAACTTCAAGTATAAATAATATAATATTTATTTTTATTTTTTAATACTGAAAATAGGTAAACATTTTAAACTTGTAAATCCTTTTTTACAAACTTTTTAAATTTTTTTTTGAATAGTTCAAAATAGCCAATTTATAAATCTGATTTTTGGAAAACTTTGGAATGCTGAAGTTTAAATCACTATATTATTATTAACTTAACGAATAGCTCAAGAAAAAAATAATAAATTAATAAAGTACCTATAGTATACATTTTGTCGAATATCAGTAACCATTACAGCGCTTATATTCAGCTAAATTATCTATACATTACGCCGCGTCACTAATTGTTTCACGTTTGGCAGTGTTATAGATACTTATAAACCATGTTTATACAAGTATATTGTCTAAAATAATTGTTACTCGAGTGGTTTTAATTATAATTTCAGTTACCTATAGCGGATGACTTGAGAACAAATTTTTTATATAATATTTTACTTTCTCGTAAAATGCACGCACGATATTGGTCCATAATTTTACGCCTGAATATAACTCTTAAAAACGCATTAATCGTAGGTTTCGCGATGCCAAGAATTCACGACAAATAAATCGGTCACATCGGAACATTGTGATGATCTCAACGATGAAGTGGGTGGTCGGAATGGGTATAATAATATACTAACCTTGCAGCTGTTTGGGTTGCAGAGGGTTGGGGTTCCAGCCGTTGCGGTCGTCGTCACCTTCGTCGTCCGAGTCGGAGAAATCATGACCGTCGTCGTCGTCGTTGGCCGCGGGGTAGGTGATCGGAGTCTGTCGAGCACCGGTCTTCCGGGAACGAGGAGCCGATGCTGCAGAGCCGGAAGCGGCGGCCGGCGGCTTGGCGCGCTTCATGTAACCACCGCGACAGGACTCGCAGAGCAGATACCATGCGATACCACCCTCGCCGCACGCACCCGACCAACCGGTCTTGTAGGTACCGTTGCTGGTGTAACCGCGCCCGCCGCTGCTGTGACCACATCCCGGGTGAGTGGTAAGCATGTGATAGGACACGGGCACGGCAAAAGTGTCGCCGCACAGCTCGCACGACATGGGCTCCTTGGCCTGGTAGTTGGGCATCAGTCGCCGGAATATCCGCTCGTTGTGAGCGTGCGTGGTCGGATCTACTGACGATCTGTCGCCATCGTTTTCGCCGTTTTCGCAGCTACTTTCCTCTGTCCGCCTAGGAGAAGACTTGCGGACAACGCCAACCGAAGTTATTATCTGCAACACACAAAACGTTATATTATTCTAATAGATTATAATGTTATAGCTTTTATAGTTTTAGAAAATAATTCAGAATGTGTACCGATTACAATGCTATATTGGGTTCGACAATATGTCACTGATGACGACAAACACCAAATTAACGAGCAATCCCCATCCCTCCCCTTTAGAAACCCTTTATCACAATGTCAATTATATATACCTAGCTGTATAAGTTTAACTATTTTTGAGGAATCTACAAGCTATAAAAAACATTTTTTGTTTCGCAACAAATATGCGTTCCAAAGCAATCTCGTTTGTTTCTCGTATGTTTCTACCCAGTCATTGAACTGTGAAGTAAAATATTCCGTTTTATTTTAATATAGATAATATGTAAAATTTTGTTTGGTATTAATACTTATTTTATCAAATATTTAAATGTAATTTCAAAATCCTTACGTTTTCCATATTTGGTATTTACCTGTCACTGATATACACTGAGGTATCGGGATATTAAACAACTTTTTTAGTTACGGCCACGCAACAACTATTTTACCATAAAGGTAACTATTATCAGCGAATAATCATATATTTTTACTTTCGTCGTTTTAATAAATTATTATATAGACAACGTTTTTAAAATGTTTTTTTATCATTGGATAGAAATATGGAGTAACACAGGTGTAGCGTAAAAGTCTATAATTGCATTTTATAACATATTTAAGTGGAAAAAAATGTGTTCTTATAATAGTATAATAAAACAGTACCATGTGTTTTTTGAACTTAGATAAAAAAAGAAACTTCAGTTTGAATAAACGTCTATTATTCAGACACTAAAACTGGACACTATTCTCAGGGTCCATAAAACACTCTCAACCTCATAAATTCAGTCTGAATCCAAGCTTACAGTCAAAGGGTATGAAAAAGTCCTAGAGAATATTTTCAAAATACTGCACAAGAACGTACATAAATCTACAGGAATAATATTACGTACGTCGGTTTATTCATCCGTAATTTAGATACAGACAACTATTTATCTCTAAGCGTTTCATTTATTATTTTACCAATATTTAACATGTTTAGTTAAAGAAAAAAAACTCATCGTTTTCAACAAGATCTGTTGGTATTCTTTCTTTTATTGCCTTAGTTGTTTTGTTACATTATTCTAAATGTAACAATACTGATGCGAAACCAGCCAATAAAGACAATAATGGAAAACTAAACAAATACAAATGGGAAAATTAATTTTAATAAATTATAACAGATTCGTATTTAATATTTTATATTGTACGTTGAACATAACTTTTACGAATGTCGTAAAGAGAACATTATTATTCCATGAACATTTGTTGCCATTGTGACTTTCATTCCGTAAAATATTTATGCCATTGTACTACATTTTAATAGCAAACGTTTACTTATCCATCAAATATTTTAAATTATATTATTTAGTGTACAAATGAAATGATTATATTTCCGTGGTATTTTCTGAAAAAAAAAAAAACAATGAAATTCAAGTAACCGAAAACTATATTTTATATTTTAATTAAAAACGGAGTTCAATTCGGCCTGTAGAATAATTCACTCTGTTGGTTAAAAAGAAAAAAAAATATTAAATTTAATTGTACAGGATTTGATCATTATTTTCGTAAAGTGTAGACATATGAATTAGGTATTACATTTTATTTTTAGGAGGGGGTGAGTGTAATGTTAATAAATATTAAATAATATAATATAATATAATAATGTAATATTAAATGTTAACGGATTTGAAAAACGACATCACATTTCCCACTCTATTTTGAATATCTCATAATATTGTTTTGTCGTAAGTGTGTCTTTATATTACATCAGAGGTCTTACCTGTAGCATGTCGGATGCGATCTGGTCCCACAACCTGACCATGCAGTTGAGGGCGGGCGGCAGAAAGTTGACGGTGGTCCGGCACTCGCCACCACCCCCGGACGGTTCCGGTTGCGCGTGATGGCTGTCTGCTAGTTCCGAGTTACCGGAACTGGTCATGCTCTCCTCGGTGATGGCTCCCTCGGCGGGTAACGCCATTCCAGGTTTCGGTCGGTTAACTTCGTTGGGTCGGATGTGCCGGTAACCGCCTGCGCCGGTCGTCACTTCCACCGAATGCCTCTGCGGGCCGCGGTCCTTGTTCCTGCAGGTAAGATCAAATTTCACATAATCGCGTCATCACAATAATATGCCTCATGTTCTAGAATCCGGGTATAGCTCTATGGTATATAATATTATGTTGGACAGATTTCTAGTTTATAATAAATACATGGATAACCAACAGCGTTTTCTGTATGAGTTAGCAAACAATTCATCGATATTTTATCGAGATGAGACAGTAGATAAAAATGTAATCAAATGTGTCTAATTGTAATGCGTAAAACAGCGTTTTTTTCTATAAATATAATAATATACCTATAAGTCAAAACGTTTAAACTCGTTAATAAGTACACATCAGCGATATTCACATAATATAAATAAGCGATTTTCATTATCCTGCCGCTGTTAACACATACCTTTCAGTCATCCGTTTCGTCACCACCGCACCGTTCTTGGGAAGACTCGGATAAAACTTCAAAAATGACGCGCAGGTCATAGCGTCGTGGACGATGCCTTCATGCCACAGGAACGCGGCAAACACGGCACGGAGGCTCTCTGCCATCGACGGACTTAACGCCATTTTCACGGTTTGCCTAAATCGCATTAATTAATAGTATTTTAGTGGGTATTATGTTTAAGGTATTATTTTCAACGTAATCTTGTTTGGTCAGTTATTAGTTATTAGTCTTAGATTTTTGATTTACCAGTTGGTATAGCACGACGGTTTAAGTAGGTAGTCAAACATTCCTTATAGGCATTTCTGAGAACATCATTATCATCGACAAAAAAAAAATTTCGATGTAATAAAGAAATAAATTGTCGATTTCTTAAATTTTGTTCTAGCAGGCTATTGGCGTGGAAATAATAAAACATTCAAAACCAATACCTGCGGGGATGTGAATATTATTATTTTTATATTACTTATACGGTTCGATGTTTTTGTAAATTAACTCTATGCTGATATAACAAACTGAATTTTTTTTTTTTATTGAACTATTCCCGGCTACTAAGGCCAATAGCGCTGTTATATGAGTTACGAACTGTGGTAGGGGTAAGGTTGATACGGTAGGTTGTTTTTGTTTTACGTTTGTTACGATGTTAGTACGGTAGGTATAGCAAACACGTATATATGTGTGGCAAGGTTTTTAACTACTATGAACCAGGGTGGTCACCCATCCGGGAGCTAGTAGCTGTGGCCGTTACTTACTCCCAGTCACATTCCGTAACTGGTAGCAGTCAACGCGCCACGCCAAGCATCAAAACTGAATATTATAAATTCAGTTAATACAATATATTAAAATACATTTATAAAATTAATTAATTTTAACAGTATATGTAAATACTATATAATATTCTACTTTAAGTATATAATTTCCACAGAACATTTTTTAAAAATATAGTAGCAATTTTAATCATTACATTTTTATAACATACTTTTGCATTTTAAAAGTGGTTAAAGTTTAATCGCTATATTTTTAACGGTTAAGCCAACGACTTATTTAGTAAAACATCGATGTATTCAAATTAACTTACTTTGGTTCTTGCAAGGTTATATCTGGTTGATCTTTGGATTCTGGTGAAGATACAGGATCAGTTTTTAATCCATTTTTCGAATTTGAACGATTTTTTAGTGTCAACTTGTGTTTTATTTTACTATTAGGTACAAAACTGACTCTCTCATTTTCCGGCGTCGTTTGTGTGGCTGCTTGTGCAACGCCAGGGCAAATTTCTACTTTCTGTTTACAAAAAATACAATACAAAATAATTGAGATAACTTATATTACTACAAAGGTTTCTTTGAAACTTTGCATCTGTTTCCTGATTTAATTATGACCAAATTAACAAACTTGTTTCACAGTTAAAAAGCCACTTATGCGGGTAGACCATACGAAAGGAGATTATGCTAAAGTTTAGATTCATTATAGCAAAGTGAGTGACTAACACAACAAACAATAATCATTTTTAAAATATGTAGGTTTTGTTTAAGGATTTAATTTTTTTTATTTCAAAAATTTTACTGTGTTTTAATGTAATAATACTTTAAATACTTTTAAAAAAAATCTATAGTTGCGTAGGCGTAATTTTAAATTAAACACAAATGTATAATTTTTGATTCTGAAACAAAATAACTGCTAGCGATTTACCATTGAACAATAATCGTTTAAGAATTATGAATCTGTTTTAAGCACCACTACGTTTTAATGAAATTCTCTGGAAACTTTTTTAATAAATATTCTTAAAAATGGAAAAAGTGCGTTTTTCATTGAATCCGCTCAATTGATGATTGACGTCAGAACTAAGAAGGATTGTTTGTTCGTTATTTAACCATCGGCCAGATGGGGTCAAGATGGTCGACATTTGGTATCATTAATGTGGTATGGATGTGATAATACGTACAGTCAAACATTCCGGTTGGTCTGCTGAGCTCTCGACGGACGTGGACAGGCTTGTGGTCATATGGGTATCAACCGAAGACGAACTGGTGGTTGGTGGTGCCGTGGTATCGCTTGACGCCGATAACGAATGATTGTACGCCGTTCTTCTGGAACCTGGAACGTATATATAGTGGTACATGGTTAGTATGCACAGCCATAGGTGAACTAGGTACTTCTAAGCACAGTAATATTATAATATATGTATTATTCGACTGTGATAAGTCTTACAAATTAAAGTTGAAACTGAAATCGGAAAGTAAATCTTAATCTTTTCAACTCAGATTATTCATTATTGCCGTAAACTTAAAAAATAAAAATCTAATTAAAAATATGTAAATAATGAAATCTTTAAACTTATTAACTTAGCTGACTTAACTTGACTAATTAATTATCCTGATTTAACCTATTTATCTCAAAATAATCGTTGACTTATTATTTTTTTAATTAAATTATGAAAATGTATTTTCAGTATTTGAGCTGTGACTTGTAAGTTTTCTTTTCCGGTATCCATCTCATCGTGTTTTGGTTTAATCCATCTTTGTATTTATCAACATAATTAGGAGCGCATATACGGTGTGAGAGATGTGAATAATTGACATTCTTGACACTGCCATGATATATGTATTATAATGTTTTGCATTCCAATAAAATATTTATTCATAGATGGGTATTTTTGTACAATGCATAAAAAACTCAGGCAAGTACGTTGTTAGTTGATAATAGTTTGTCAACGAATAAAAAAATAATGATTAAGTGTACGATGTATATTGATTCTGACTTCAGAGAAAGTAAACATTGGACGTTCTAAATGTATACACTATATTAAATTATATACAAATTATAGGTACTATAATACTTTATTATATTATAGATATAATGGCTCAATTAGTTCCACGATCATACAAGAGTTAGAAATAAGAATAGACGATATGGGTTTGCATTATTGGGTGTGGCACCAGAATATAAAAAACTATGTCAGATGTATAGTCATTGATGAAGAAAATATAAAATTGGATGTTGTATTAAAGTTATTAATGTTATACTTTGACTATTTAAAATTGAAATTTTTAAAGTAATAACGTTTAAATTCCACTTATATATTTTGTAAAATTTAATTTAATATTTTGTTTTGGAAAAATAATTGAAAACTCCATATAAATAACTGGTTATATATTAATATAATGTTGGGAATATATTATTTGTATATTTATGACTTTATTAAGTTTTTGCAGTTTTAATGTAACTCGGACGGTTATGAGACTATGAGAGTGTACCCTGCAAATACGCCGTTGGGTGGAATAATTATCAAACCGTCGATAGTAATAAATAATAATATTGTAGTAAATATGAATAATTAATCTACTCACCCGTCACGTCTACTTTGCACGCGATTTTGTACGGTTGTTGTTTGGCCTTTTCCGCGGCGGCGTACTTATTGCCAGCCGTCTTACGTGGACTACTCGGTGGCATCATTACCATGTTTCCGTTGCTCAACCGACTGTCCTGGCCTACGGGTCGATGATATGGTATCGGCAAAGGGTTGGCATTCAGTCTGGAAAAGTCAAAAGATTATAGTCGATTTGTACTATCAAAACTAACGCCGTCGACGATCTCGTGCCACCTACCCTTCTATCGCTTTCGCGTCCTTTTTTCGTTTAGGCGAGTACTGCTTTTCCAATTTTTCGATTTTGATATCGTTATCGTCTGAAAATCAAAAAATAACGAATTTCATAAACGCAGTCTGAGGGAAGTCTATTATTATCGGGACTTGGGAGTATCCAGTGCTTGAATTGAAAATAGGAGTGGTCACCATAAAAAGTACCTGCCGCGAAAAACATTTTAGCTCATCATCTGAAATATCGCGTTATATGGGTAACTCTAGTTTTCGAAAACATATTATTTAAAAATTAAATTAAAATTAAAATGGATATTAAAATCACAATGAATACAGATCACATAATAGAAGAAACGCAGCATAATTATATTAAATTACTATAATTATAGGTTATCTGAAAAAAAACACGAAGGGATATAATAACTTCAAGGCGTCTCACCCATCATGTCCAACTGCTCGATCACGTACGAACTCGTGTTGAAACGTGGTGGCTGCGTGTTGGCGTTGTTGCTCCTGTTGGTCACTTTAGGGTCTCTAACCTCGTTGTCTATTCGCTGCACGAAACACTGCATGTCTTGTCGCTCCATTTCTGTAAACAATTTCGAATGTAAATTTCGATTGATTTTACGAGGACGTGTACTCAATAATATTATGCGCCCGAAACGCGATCGAGTGGCGCATCCGATATATTACTATATTCATCCATAGACGAGCAGTGCTCATTCGGCGCATCGTCAAACCTCTATGCCTACACGGCTACATATATGGATACAAAAACTGTCGTACGGAGTGATTCAATGATTTATCGATACTTCCACTACGCCGTTTTTGAGTCCTATCATCGATGACTGGTTTGACCGATTTCGTTACAATAATTAATGCCGATATTTATTTATTTTGTATCTCCGCAATTAGTAGCCACCTGCGGGCTGCAGACAACCGTATTCTTAACGATTAATATTATTATTAATTTGGGTGGTTTAATGCAGGGGCTCAATTTCAACTTTTTGAAAGGTATACTAACAAAAATATTGGTAAGTAATCGAAAAAAAGTTCACAAGAGTCTTGTGATAAGACCATTACAATACATCGTAATATCACAGTTAATTAAAAAAAAAAAAATGTTTAGGGCTACGCTTCCAAATTTGAATCTGTACATTTTCCATGTAATTGTCTAATATATTATCTAATAATACTGACTTTGAACTTAAATTAAAATTTTTTTCTGACTCCCCCCCCCCCCATACAAAATCTATGTATATTGTATACTCCACTGACTCCGAATTCCACGGTTTACGCTACATCCGCAATGTGTTCACAATAATACAATGTAGCGTTAATCCAAATACCTGCAGGGCTCTGGCGGTAATGGTATTCATTGTTTGTCATATTTTTAAATGATTGTGTACGTAGGTATGGGTGCGCTTTTCAAAATACCTGTCTTACAGAAGATACTACTTTACCAATATCCGGAAAATACCTCGAAGTTTTTCGGCTAGTCTATGCAGAGCAGGAGCAGTGCAGGTTACATGAATAACTTTAGATTAAAGAGTTTGTATTGCGATCCCGACCTTGACCATATTCGCGGCTTTATCGCTTAGAAACAATAAGACATTGTCCAGTTGAAACCCAGTATAGGCCATGAAATCCCCATAGTTTTGTCGAATTATTTAAATATTGTCGAGTGGTTGGTTTTCTCTAATTATCCAGGATGCAACAAATATATTGCACTTTCCTGATCAACTTCTAACGTCCCAATTACGACCTTTGCTATAAAACGTCCGGTAGTGTCCGTATTTTCGACGGTTGAAACCCACATCTTCTTTTCATCAAAGTAAGTCCTAATTTTACGAATACAATGTCTTGAATATCATCTACGTAATCCCTACGTCGTAGAGTTGTTTCACTAGGTACAGATTCATTTGTATATTTTTCGGACTCGTTATTCGATAACTTATTTAGGGGGATATTTGCCAAAAGCAAAGTTTTGCATAAATCTCGATGAAAAGAACTCTTTTTCCCTAAGTTTTTATTTGTAACTAATATTGTTGTGTTAGGTACCTTGTTATTTTTATTTTAATTCCGCTGTACTGCTCGAATATGTTTTCCAGTTTTAAATGTCAGATAAAATTAAATCGCTTGTTACTTCCCACTTTTATTCCGTAGAGTTAAAAAAAATAATAACACAAAAGGCACACGTCAATATCGTAATAAAACCGGCCAAGTGCGAGTCGGCCTCGAGCACGAATTACCATCATCTATGAACATGTTGGCAACACTGCTTATATTATATATTCTAGGATTTTTAGTATTTGTTGTTATAGACGCAACAGAAATACAGAATCTGTGAACATTTTAACTTTCTAACTTTCATGGTTCGTGAGATTCCGCCCGGTGACAGATGGACGGACAGAGGAGTCTTAGTAATAGGGTCCCGATTTACCGTACGGTAAAGAAATGATATGGAAAGTGGTCTATACGGACTATACAATTATTAATTTAATTAATCATTTTATCTAATCGCCGGTAAATGTGGGACTTAGGTATCGCGGTAAATACGATGTATGACACTGTACATAGTATTATACTATATTATTCATAGGCAATATGCACGATAGTGTTTATGGATTTGAACAGTGTAAATCGTGTTCATTAATAGATGCCTTTATAAATGGACTTTTACAGCACTTGAAAAATACATGCTGTTAAAATATGGTCTAATAAGAAAAAAACATTCAAATATGCAAAAATATGCGCAGTAAAATTTTGTATTTAAATTTTATATAACACGAATAAGATTTATATTTGACTCTGCTAGTTTTTAAATAATTCAGAAAAAATATGCGAATTCCAGAAGCCCCTAAGTTTAATCATATAGTCGTCATTATCATTTTCTAGAATATTTAAAAACAATCACTATTATATGGGTGGTATACTCCTAAACGCAAAACGCTTAAGTAATGTGTAAAACAATTATTACGATTTTTGTAACACTTCAATAAATTGGTTTGTATATTATGCTCCTGTGATGGTGATACCGATATTCGTGCTCGTGTATTGCCTATACACACCAGCTATAGAGGTACATTGTTCTGAGGTCATTTTCGTCCATATACGGTGGTGGTGGCATTATGTAGCCGTACCTATATATGTGTAATATTGTCTATTAATAATTTTTCCCCGAGCACGCATGCCGCTACCGGATAGGAATGCATTTAAAAATTTCGTGTCTAGAATAACGCGTGTACGGTATTTAATTAAATTAATATAATATAATATCGCCGGAAAAATCATAAACGAGACCGTCGCGACGTGGGTTGCGTCTCTACAATAATCATAAAATAGAGCTTAAGACGACGATTCGCCCAGCAGGAAACGGGAAATAATATAATAATATATTGTTGCACATGAAACGGCCCACTACCCGCACTGACGATGTTTAAGTTTGCGAGCGTTTGATTTTATACTACTAGAGCTTATTATAATATTATAATGGATACACAACAATGATGCAACTTATTATAATATGGTATAGTGGTATACCACCTCAATGGTAATCGAGAATATTGTATTACAAATATGACGTGACAGCGCGGGCGGGTATGCCCACTCGGTTTTCTTATGAGATTTTCCCTAGCATGCGAACAGCCTATATTTTATAGTATGTTGTTACCTACTATATTATTATTTTTATGTCTTCTCTCAAAATGTCCTTTCTGCGAGGTTGCAGTCGTTTACGTTTTCGGAACCACCTCCGTCGTTTGAAAAAAAAAAACAAAACAAAACTATAGACCTATAGACAAATATCGCTAGCCGAGATGGCAACTATATATGAACAGCTGCGAAGACATGATTTTTCATAATAAACGCGTACGTATGATAATAATATTATGTGTGTGGCACCGAACAATTTGTTTAGCGAAGGTATATTGTTAGCGAAAACAGTACGACGGAAAGAAATAATAACAACACGACTGTCCTCCCAATATTATTATGGCTGGTACCCAAACAACGAAATTAATAGTGGCCACAGAGGCTGTATTAAAAGTACACGGAAACAATACAACGATATACGTAGGCCGTGCACACATCATATAATGAAATCATCTCGAAGTACCGAAAATCCACATTTAAAATAAGCGATCATCACAAAATCATAAGAGTTATTATAGATGTGTGTGTGTGAATGTATGGACGAATATTAATTCCAAGTGAAAGTGTAACCACACCATAAACGTGGTATAACCGTGATGCGTGTTCATGGGAAATAAAGTGTATATTATTTAATATATTGTACCGGCGAAGAACCCCTAATTTTCAATTTTGAAATACCTATTTCAAGTTAAATATGTCAAATCAAAACCCTCTAAGTGTGACATATACAATCATAGACTAACAGCTGGCGTTAAGTCATACGATATAATATTTTCCCAGGAGACTCGGTCGTCTAATCGGTCGGGTCAGGTTTTGTTAACTCTACAGTGGTTGATGGAATTTGTTTTCGAAGTGTGTATTTTTTACGACTTGTCTACAACTCAAACGCTAATGTCGAACAAATATGACCACAATCAAGACAGTAAGACACTCGAGCAGCTCCTTTAAATAAAATAGCTGCTGACGTTTTGTCGTAAAAAACATTATTTATAAGTCGTCGCATTATCATATCTGCGGGTTATAATATAATAACAAAGATATTATTATACCGTAAACGAGATAATATTACGTTTCGTCGAGTTATGTCAAACGGAAAATTACATTTCGAGAACATTTTTTTTTTCATCATAATAATAATATATATATATACACACAGGGTAGTTATATTTACTTTAAACAAACGGGCGCGGCGTGGCCACAAAAAGAGAATGAGAAACGCGTGCAAGGTAGCCGCCGAAGGTAACGGGGCGCGGTGTGGGGGGTGCACACAAACCGGGAAGCCTTAAGCCCGAGGGAGCCCGCCGCACTAACTCCGACCAAAGCTCTTTAACTGTGTCCTTTGAAATTTTGTTTACAAGTCGTCAACGTGTGTGCTATTGACGTTTTTCTCGTGTAGAAAGTTGCCGGCCGCGCGACGACGGATATAATATATAAGAGACCGACTAAGATTACGCTGCAGGTAGGTATAAGCAGTGTATTATAATAATATATGTATAGTCGAGTTAATCTATTATATAAAATAAACAAGAGACCGGCGGGGGAGAGCGAACGTCGCCGGAGATCCACCTGCGGCGGCTGCTGTTATATATTAGGTACACCGTATATATATAAACGGTATATAGCTATGTATAATATAGACTGGAGCGGTTCAAAGGACCTTCGCTTTCGTCAAAACCGGCGCAGGAGTAGACAGATGTAGGCGGGCACGTGGTTCCCGTTTGGGAAATGTTTAAAATCGATCTCTAACCACTCGCCGAAAACTACTGATGTATAGCTATGTGGTTCGTTGGTTAACGAACTATTATAATGTACGCGTTTCGGAGGCGTTAATATACGTCGATTCGCGTTAATTCACGAAATCATAAATTTTATATCAATAGTAGTTTAAAATAGATAGGTATATAATATGTTATAAAACCTAATTTATTCAGAT